GCCCAATTACTCATAGCATCACATGGTTTGCCTGTGAGGTCATTCCATGCTGAAATAGTCATAGCATGGTCTTGGTTGATTTGCAAATGAGTACTTAGTGTTAGTAATCTGCTTCAGTTGTTAGGTAAATGGTAAGATATGCAACTTTTTAGAAACTATATTTACCTTGTATCTGTAACAGAAATCTCTCGAACTGGACTATCCCGACCACGTGTATTAGGTATCAGCCTCGGTGCCTCTTCAAAAAATAGTACAACACCAACTACATCTAGTTTAGGACAAAAGTAAAAAGTAAGTGCAATAGAATGCATGCATGCAGTGTCATTTTCGAAAGTGCAAATAAAACCATAGATATGCGTAAACTGATTGATAATAAGCACTACCAAATCTTCCATTTGGATCATGCGATCGTGGAATACTTGACATTGGCTGGTATTTTGGCTCAATCGGTCCACTCTCTTGATTTAAACGTTGAATTATAGTTTGCTGTCCGACTGTCATCTGGTATGGAAGTTCTTGTTCATTGAATTTGTACTGTTCATCCACAGCTGTTATAGGGGCCTTGGATATTTCATATTGACCAGATGGTTTCAGAACATCCTCATACGCTTCAATCTGGTCTCCAAACATTGCACAACACATCTTGTTTTTCTGGAAAAATACATAACATACTCATTAAGGAGAGGAATACTTAGCAGAAGTATACAACTTTATACAGGGATCAAAGGCATGCTTAGTTAAGTAGCCTACTTGTAACCATGCACAAACCTACTTATACATATGTTAGATCTCTTTTTCTGGTTATAATTTGTATACTCTTTGATCTATAAAATGAATCCTTTGTACCTCACAAGTTGTACATAACAGACTGTATGTGCAGCAAGGAATGTATAGTGCTATAACCAGAAAATAAATGGTACATATGTTTCTACAATCTAAGCTTAGAAAATATATATACCTTTTCATCCTCTAAGATGATTGTTTGAAAAAAAACACATGGATTTTTAGGAGAAGGATGAGCTCTTCCCTTTTCAGTGACAGTAACTTTAACTTTATAGTCCTTACTTTGAGTAGTGAGTTCATCTAGGTAGACAGGTTCAAGCTTCATTCTTGGTGGTGTATTCATGATCTTCAATTCATGAAAATGGAAAATGGTTAGGAGAAAAATCATAACAAGGCATACTTGTAATACTTCACAGAGTGTGAGAATGAGGTAGCATAAAAGGGCATGTAAAAAGACTGGGAGACATACACACAGTGATCAGTGTAGTTTACAGTGATGTCATATATAATTTGTTCTTGTTCTTCAATTAAGTAGTTTTTTCTGTTAAAAATAGTATTCCATAAACAATATCTAAGGACAAATGATGCCAAAAAATGAACAAATATAACAGCTTCATAAACGCAGCAACATGAGATAGTGCATGAGCTGAAGTGACTGTAACAAGAACAAAGAAAGAAACAGACAACAGTATATACAAATACAAATTCACTCACTGGAAATAATTCTATTATACCAAAAGAAGCAAAATAAATACGAGGTATGCATATATCATAATGGAATTCTGATTTTGTTTGTTTTTTTTTTTTTTTTAAAACAGGATAGCTAAGTATGTGGGTGATTGTTATAGCAGGTGATGTAAAAGCTACTATAAAAGGTACAGAGAAGAAGAAGAATATACCACAATCAAGGCTGAAAAGTAAGAGAATAATATGGTGCTTCAAAAGTCTCCAACCCATATGGTATTTATAGCAAAGGCTGAAAAGCAAAAGGATCTAGGTTTTTTTTGTTTCAACAGTAACCGTTCCCAAACAGTAAACAACTTCCTTTCTTTTATTTGTTTACAGCTTGCAAGCACTAAAGATTAGTTTAGTATCTTTTCTTAAACTATAAGTAAAAAGTTCCTAATTATTATGGCTATTATATGACAAAGCATATTTAAATGGAAGAAAAGTTTTCTTTTCTGTTGCTAAAACTAAAAGCAAGTACAACTTCAAATATAATACTATTTTTCTTACTATGAATAGTTAGTTTAACTTGTACTTTCTAGTTGCTATCTCCAAGGTGAAATGTATATGCCTTTTAAGTCATAAAACTACTTTGCTATTCAGAAAATGTAGTGTTATTGTTATTTTATGGGCTAGACTAACACAGCCCATTTACATGTTATGTAATACAAAGCCCAAATTATAACCCCCCAACAAAATCACAAGAAACACTATTATTACCAACGGAAGTATTACACGGTATACGTTAAATATATATTAGGCGTAATAATTGCTAGACAAAGCCCAAATTATAACCCCCCAACAAAATCACAAGAAACACTATTATTATCAACGGAAGTATTACACGGTATACGATAAATATATATTAGGCGTAATAATTGTTAGTAAGTATGGATTAGTAAAAGCATGTTAAGTATAGACTTGATGCATAGTAGATATACGTGCCTACTAAACAAAGTATGTATAGCAAAGCATAACTTACCTTGTAGCATACATTTTCACCGATAAATACATGCCTTTACTTGCTGATTCTGCTGCTTTTTGCAAGGTAAGCACAAACAAATTAAAGACTGGGATACAATCTCTATATATATAAGTAAGAGCAGCCTTTCTCTTAACAGCAGAATGATTCAATTAGGCATCACTTACTATGCATCTGTTAGAACAAGTGTAGTGAACAGCTTAGTACGATTAACTCCTGTCACTGAAGGCAGTAGGAATTCGAAGAGGGAATGACCAAAATGTGTGACCAACAAGTGCAACCTATAAGCACTACCGTAACATCTCATAAGCATACAAGCATACATAGAGTCAGGGCAGGAAATGCCTAACCATAAGCTGAATGGTTATTTTTCTAAGCTATAATGCAAGGATTCTATCTATAACTCACAAAGCACATACTCTGAAGAACAGAAACATAATCACAAAAAAAGGCATCCCTGATGTACTAAACCAGTACTGCAATTAAAGTGCATTTATATACCTACAGTGTCCTCTGTAAAGGGAAATCGTTTGTGCATATCGTGCAGCCTGCAATCACACCATAACACGTATCAGTAACACTATACCGTGCTTTAATATGTGAAGCGCAGCAAAAAAAATTAACCTCACTCTATTCAGAAACAATCAGCATTGGAAACGCTATTATGCATGTGGCAGCTCACAAAAATTAAATGCAATGCTCACTCTACATTCCATCGGTCTGAACAATGCCTGCTAGCAATAGGAGTTTATGAGATACTACATTTCTAACTGCATTAACAGAACATTGGTTAACACCAGCTGTAGTGAAAACGCAGACATCTTTTGATTTTTTGGCCCGTGGAAGGGCAACATAAAGCTGGCCATGGGAAAAACACGGGCGTGGCAAATAAATGGATACTTGGTGAGTTTATCCTTGAGATTTGTTAATTGTCATTGCAAAGCTAAGTTTTATGGGAAATTGTTTTGCTCAAACATGAACGGATATTTGATAGACTTAGAAGGCCTTAAGTTAATCCTGTGTATAAAAACATCCTCCCCTTTGTAATGACCAACTGCTATAGTGCACTGAATTACGTTTGGAAATTTTTTTTCTACAAATTAACCTTGTACCGTTGCATAGACCGGATGATGGAAGCAAATTCCTTAGCACTATCACTGGGCAATTTTCCTTTAACACAAGCTCATGAGGACTCATTCCACCTAGGCAGAGCTTGTTAATAAATTCTGTAGGATATATGCTGCATGTATCATTAACAACAACATCAAAGCTCTTGTAAGTCACAGCCCGTCCAGGAAATTTTTCAATCATGAATGTGTTTATAGCATCCACATCATCATTCATGGGTGTCAAAATTGCCTTTTTTGTGAAAACCTCATTGTGAAATAAGCCATGCCCAATTTCTGGAAACGTTGTATCTGTAACAGGTGCAACCAAGTCTATAACATCGTCTGTGCACTGTACGATATGTTCTGGTAGCTCGACAAAAGCATTTTCTGTTTGTTGCAGTTCACCGTTACCCAGACCAAGCAAAAAAGAAGCATATCCTAGGTCTTCTTGTCCTAATGTTTTCTGTCAGTCTGAACTTCACAAGCCTGGGCCACAGATAAGAAGTCACAATACTTGCCTCCACTGCCTCGTTCATTGTCTTCCGAGGGACCACTGGAAAGACCTGTCGGAAATCTCCTCCCAAAACAACCACTTTCCCTCCAAACACGACCTTATTTCCACATATATCCTGCAATAAAAGGTCTAGAGATTCTACATTTTGCTTTTCTGCCATAGAAGCCTCGTCCCAGATTATCAGAGCGGTTTCCTTTAACAATGCAGCTAAACTTCCTTGCTTCGGAACATCACATGCCAGCGACCCTTCATCGTCAATTGGGATTTTGAACCGTGAATGAGCAGTTCTTCCCGAAGGAATGTTAGCTGCAGCTATTCCTGATGTGGCCGTAGGTAAAACAATCTTGTTCATTTGTCGAATCTCTGCATATAGTGCATTGTAAAGAAAAGTTTTTCCTGTACCTCCTAGACCATCAATAAAGAAAGCACCGCCTTTTTGCTGTAAGACATGTTCCATTATGCACTCGAAAGCAACATTTTGTGCAGAGTTTAACCTTGAGCGACAACTTAAGCACTCTTCTGGGATCGGTGCGTCAAGAGCATCTATAATATCCTTCGTACGTCTAAACTCATCACTGACTTGCGATACTAATTCCTCCAGGCCAAAAAAGGCAAGGGATTTTCCCATGGCTTCCAGGCGCTGTTCAACTGCTCGAACAGTAAGCTGGTGTATCCTTAGAGGCTGATTTGGGAACCTATGAGAGTAATCTTCAGCAAGAAAAGAATAATAAGAATTCCATAAAGCAGCGGGATCTCTTGGCTGACAAAACATTAACACCGTTGCAAATAGGCACCGGAAAGCAGCAGGCATATGAGTGTCACATGCCTTAGCCATAGTCGAATTGCCCGTGTCATCGTCTTCTATAAGCCCTTGTTTTAAAGTAGCTTACTGAAAAGTCGGATACAAACAACCATCGACAGTACGCAGAGCTTCAAAAGACTTAGGACTTCTTACATTGAGCAGTAGGAGCCTAAGAAAGAATCGTTCTCCTTCTGCAAGAAACACAAATGCCAGGGGGCCAATTAAAATCCTGTTTTGTACTCTTTGTTTCCATCTCTTATCACCCTGATGCCATGTATAATGCTCGCAAAATTCACCATATAGATACCCCAAGCCATGTTCAGTAGCAGCGTTCATTGCAAAACACTCAGTTAATTGAGTTCTTGAGCGTTTATCATCTGAAACAACAGAGCGTAGTCTTTCATGCGGGCGCACATGAACAGTCTGCATGTATGGCAAATGGACTTGTAAAGGCAAAACAGAAGGGTGCATTTCAAATAGGTCAAAGCTAAAAATTCTCCATGCAGCTTCACAAGGAGGTACCCATCTACCTGATTGATATTGATGAATTTCATCTACAGGTTCACTATTAGAACCAACAACATTATACGAAATCCTATCATGACCCTTATACACATACTTGTATAGATACTTTACTGCTTTAATAGTCGAACACACCTCAACATTCAAGTGACAATCAAAGAGCATCGACAAATAAGGGTTATAAGGAATGACCCACTGATTGTCTAATTGTGCATTTCTTATGGTTACCTGCTCCCCAGTTACTCTTCGACGGTAGATAGGATATCCATCTTTATTATTAGTCGTTTCATTGCAAAATAGCTTAGGGTATTTGTTTTTACAACTGCGTTGCATGCCAGTTTTCTTCATACATGGACAATCCGGATTCAGGATACCACAAGGACCATGCATCATATGTGCCAACACAATTCTTCTCAAGACACCATTAGTCGGAGCAGGTATTTCAGCACAAACAAATCGATCATAGTCAGCAGGGCACTTGAGCTTTTATTCAGGTTTCAGAATAATCAGGAAATGAGCATGTGGCAGCCCTCTTTTCCGAAACTCGACTACATATACCATTGCAGCCACTTCCCCGAATATTTTATTCTCCGTGATTTCTCTTCTCAAGGCTACCAATTTTGCTCTAAAAATCCTAGCAACCAAATCAGGTCTATCTTGTGCCGCCTCACCAGCAGCTAGCTCGGCTTTTATTTCAGGCCAATTAGCATTACAAGTAATTGTAACAAAAAGATCTGGCTTACCAAATCTCTGTACTAAAGCCATAGCATTTAAATACCGCTTCTTCATATCCCGAGGACCGCCAATATAAGTAGGAGGTAATATAACCCTACGGCCAACATTTTTGTCCAAGAGTCTCCCCTGAATCCAGTGAATCCAAAATCCCTTTATACAGATCAGCTCTGATGGTGTCTTGATTATTTCGGAAGTAATCAAGTCTTGTATTTTCAATCTTCACATACATATCCACTATGTATTGCTGAAAACACCTTCTCGCTCGCAAAAGCATGTTATTAGGCCTGATCTGTAACCTATAGGCATAATAATCTCTAGCATATATGAACTTGTCTGCTCTAGTGTTTTTCTTCTTTGCACCTGCAATTAAGAAACGAAAGGGAATATTTCAAGTTGACAGTAGCAGAAGGGCATCAAACACTAAAAGAGAAGAATAAAGTCTAGAATTCTTACGGGCTTCTTCCTGCTCTAATAACTCAGTTGTAGTATGAACAACACAGGACATTATAGGATCCGGAACCAGATCTGCTGATCTTCGAGACGGATGAGAATTTTTTTTAAGCCCTTGAGTCCACCCACACTCAACTCGAGGAAATAACAAAGGATACTGAAGCGGATCATAGCATCCATAATTATGATATATTCGATGAGATTTATCAGAGCATCCACTAACTAATATATGAGGGCCCAAGCTCTGGCTAGACGAAGCACTCTCCGGCCAGATAGCAGCAGCTTCATCAACAGCAGGAGCATTATAAACACGTTGATCAAGCACTGGCGCTTGATTTAAAACAATTCTTGTATCTGCATGAATGACCCTGTCCCTTAAAGTCCGGAAGAATACAGCATAGGGATTATGCATAGATACTTGCATCAGAATGCTAATCACTCTTCTCTTATTTAGGGAAACAACCAACCCTATTTTCTAATTCATGCTGACCATCATAGAAGTACAATTGGAGATACTTTGGATTGTCATTGTCAGGCAATAAATCCGGGACAAAATGATGCATCTGACTGTGTAGTTTAAAAAGATAAATCCCTTTGTGTGTGTTTGCATAATAATGACCCCCAAGCGAACTAAACGCGAACAAGTTGTTGTATAATCTAGCATACTTTCTGAAATGCACATCACCCTCATCCTTTGAAGTAAACAAATAAGCAAGTTCAGGAGGATACTCAGTCGCAGCAATCGTGATGTCTCCATTCCCACACCAGAAGTGCTAGGATTCAAACATAAATTTTTTTGCACCGCACTTGTGACAGGAAAAAGGCACGGCAAGTCTGAAAGGGTCTGTTGGTAGCTGTCGATCCATAGCAGCACCAAGAACATCTAATTTAAAGCAATACAAAAGGAACAGATCAATAAGATACCTAGCCCTAATAGAATATGCTTAAAATAGACATAATAAGTTACCTTGTACACCAGGGATGGCCCTTTTTTTTTTACGAAGAACATCTATTCCTGCTTCTGGTACACTGCATGACATATATGTTCTATTATGGTATCTATATCACAAATACCGAACAAACACCCTCAGGAGTGCAGTAATCTGAAAGCACAGCTAATAAGGGGAAAAATAAAAAGTGCTCATAAATGTATCAAAGATAAACGTAATAGTGCCTGGACAACGAATACAATGTACCTATTCAAATATGGCGCAGCTGTTCCCTGCATACACTTCTGCCTCTTTGATGTACGACACTATGGAGGCTGTGCAGGAGCAGATTGGTTGGCCACTAAGCACGGGCTACATTTAAAGGTAAACTTTTAAGCAAACTGATTCCAAATACATGAACCATTCATTCTGACCAATCTACCTCAATTGGATATGCATACCTAGCAAATGCTGATTGTGATGTCCTCTGTGCAGCCTTATTTAGTCTACTGCAGCTTTTCTTAGATAGCCGAGGTATGCCATAACGGCAATCTAACAAACACCAGAGTAAAGTGGCCAAAGGAGCACACAAATCAGAATTCAGCTGTAGCAAACAAATTAAAGGACAAACTTTTCAAACAAAGACAATACCCATTTTTCACAGCTCCAGAACAGGCTATCAAACCTAGAAGACTACAAGATTGCACACAGCCTTTCGTAGAGGAAATCTGTCATTAATATCGTATCAGAAATCGGGGAGTAGGGAAACCGATAAAGAAAGGCATCTCTTTTAACGGTAAGAAGACAAAAGGTAAGCAATGCAACATGTGAGAGTACAAGGCATAGCACAAATAGTAACTGATTTCATTAAAAGGAAGCCATAACAGGCAGTACATTCAGGTAGTTTGATTCAGTACATCAACAGAAACAAAAGCTACATAATACCGGCTAATACTTGCACCTAAAACAGACATCAATATTAGGCAAGAGCAAACTACACATGCACTACATTACTGAAACAACACCAACATCTGCATACATACCATGAAACCTTTATACACTAAAGGTAGCTAGATTTACTACACATAACTATTCGACCCTAGCACACTTGTAAACATTAGCTAATTCACAAAGGCCAGTAACAAGCTGATCAGAAACATGGACCCCCACACCACTCGTAGGCAGGTCCTTTCTATCCATGGGACGCTTAGCTGGAACAGTTGGCGGAAGAGAAAGAACCGGAATCTGGTTTGCTTCATCGGTTGGTGTCACACATTCATCACTAACCAAACAGGTAGCAGCCTCAGATTGCCTAGAATTCCCTCCTAAACATTGGACATGGCCTTTCAAAACCAAATACCTCTCCCTTATCAAGGAACATTCTGCGCTTAGCTTGGCAGCAAAACCGTAATTGACATCAACAATCTCTAAATTGAGCACAGAAGATATAAAAAAACAGGCCTTTGTAGACACCCATTTGTGTCTCCCCAAAACCAAACCCGGTGATGAGGGCCTTTCACGTCGAATCATAATCGAATGAAGTGAAAGTGTGGAAAGGTCTAGTGTTGCGGAAAGTTTTAATTCTTTTCTCTTCTTCCTGTTTTTGAAAACTTTATTTTAAGAAAACAGTCAATCCAGTTTGGTTGGTCCATGATATGGGTCCAATAGTGGTGTAGTTTGATGGGGCTTGCAAAGACCTTTCCAACGATATATTATAAGCCCAATTCCGATGAATATTGAGGAAGTTATGGCCAATTTACTAAACTGGGCCCTGTTTGAGTTTTATGTACGGCCCAATGATCTAGGGGAGGGCCTAATATGATTTAACATTCCTAATGCAATTAGGAATGGTTTTAGTCTTCTAGAACATTCTACAAGGTTCTTTTCATTCCTAATTCAATTAGGACTTCTTCAGAGTTTTAATCAAGATCAAATAGCATTTTCGATGGAATTATATTATTTTATCTTCCAGTATAGGAAATTTATCAGATTTTCGAAAACTCGTGGAAAATCACTTTGGCGTCCAACCCCAGGCCTTGGCGTCTGGAACCAGGCTTGGCGCCAGACGCTAGCCATTGGCGCCTGGCGTTAGCCACTGGTGCCTGGCGCAAGTTAGCCAGGGTTGGCGCCAATACTGTTTTGCGATCGTCAGACTCTGTTTTGTTAAATTATCTTTTTTGGCTGATTTTCTCTATAAATATCGTATTAAAAACTCCGTTTTCATTCATCTATAATCATCATTCACCAATTATCATAAATTCTCAATAATATTAATTCTCTAGTATTCTTTTTCTAAACTTTGCTTTTTAATACAAAATTCCGCATTCACAAGATCTTGATACACCTAGCCATATTCGAAGTTGCCTTCGCCCTAGGCGTGAAAGGTTTTAATTTCTGAGGGTTTGGTCCCAAATCTCTCTTTCAATTATTTAATTTAATTGTTTTGATTATTATTTTTCCTTGAAGTTACTAACGTGTGTATTTTGTTATTAGAAAGAGGTACGAGGCATCCAAGTAAGTACTTTAATGGTTTAATTGATATTATGATGTAGAAATCATGCTTAGATTGTTATTTTGATTCCTAGTATCATATCTAGGGTAATTTTAATATTAAATATAATTGTTACGATGCCTTTTATTCTCTTCCTAATATTTATGATTGTTAGTATCATGTTAGGGTTAAAGATTTGATTTTTATTGCTTAGTGACATGCTAGGGTTTGTTATTAATATTGTTAGTATCATGCCTAGGATCTTGCTATGCTTTAATATGATTATGATTATGATTGATATTATTATTATTAATGATGTTGTTTATTATGTTGCTTGATATGCATTATTTATAATTGTTATTGCTTGATCACCTTTCATGCATGTTTAAAGGGAATTGGTACTTGCAATCATGCTTAATAAGATAATTAATAATCTTGTTAGGGTTAATTGTGATTATAATTCAAGTGATCGCCAATAAAAGTTTATTTGTGCATTAAATTCAACCAACATAGATTAAACAGGTTTAGGGTTAATCCTATTGATTGTATGTTAGTTAGAAAGCGCACATGAATACGAGCAGAATAAAGTAGAGGCCTATTATTAGGGCAGGTTCAATTTCTTTTAGGTTGGATTTGTACCTTCATCCCCGAACCCTTATTTGGTTCATGACCTTATGGAGTTGACGATCTCTTGGACGTTAAGGGGTGTAACCTTCATCCTATGAACGGTTTACAAGTTCCTTAAAAACTTGTTGGCGACTCTTTTGCTCTATCTTCTTCCCTTTTGGACGCCACCGTACTTTAGTGTATGATCACAGTGGGGTTCAAGCTAGTGGGATTTTAAAGGCTTGAAACTATTCCCCACAGCCTTCTTAGCAACCCGCTGTTGAGCGATATCTTTTTCAGCACAAGGATCACTGAGGATGCACTCCATCCCAATACTATTATGAGGACAAGTGACCATTAACCAAGACATATAGCCATGTCCTTCTAACTTGGTGGTCTCAATACCAGTGACAGTTACACCGGTTTTCCTAACTAAAACTCCCAAAAAATGCACAAAATCAAATCCAACATGAATATCATGAAATGGCACATCCTCCCGTGTGCTGCATTCAACACGTATGCGACTCAAGTCCTCTCTGTCCTGTACTAATTCAGCACATAAATTCTTATACAATTTCACACACAAACGGTACATCTTCATACGCTCATATGTGAAATCAGACACTCGAACACTAAACCGACAGACTAATCTTTTCACAGCCTTGTGAGCTGCTCTTTCACGAAACTCTTCAACGTAGCAGCATCTCCACCATAAAAGATAAACTTTGTACGAGAATTAGGCTTATTAACCCGCACAAAGACATTATTCTTAGCAGCATCTATAAATCCATACACCGGAGATGGAAACTGCAACCAAGCAATAACCTTTTCCAAGATAGGTTGAAAAGGAACACACACTCTGTTTGATCGTCTAGCCATAACCTGTAATGGCAAAATCAATGTTCAGGACAAAAACCATGAAGAATAAAACACTTATTCTTCTTCAAATTAATATAACTGGACCCAACCCACAAGACATACCAAAAGGCAGACAGAAATCTATTCGCTGTAAAACTAACCTAAAGAAATCCTAAATTAAAAGACAAAGATCCTACACACAATACCAGATAATCTTTGCACCTATGGCAACTGTAGAACCGAGCAAGTGTACAAACAGTGTTCTATAATACTGAACCAACCTCTCTTCTCTAAAGGGCCAATTACAACCTACATTTTCCTGGTCTACCTTAATGGAGCCGATTACCTAGGCAGTACTTCAATATCCCTTCAGAAGAAGTGTAAAAGAAACAAACAAGCAATCACCTAAAACATCTCTTTTTCCAATCTATCAAATCCTATAGTAAGCTGAAAACAGCGAACGCATCATTTGAAATCAACATATAATGACTGTGTTTCACTAAATCCAACAAAAGCAAAGCAGAACAA